TTGTCAATTAATTGATCATGTAAAATATTTACAATCTCCAAGATTGAGAGAGAGGATTATGGGATATTTTGGAAAGGAAGTGATGGACATTATGAATAAAGTATGTGTAATATTTATTACAAGCTAAAAGAAGCATATGAAAAAGGAGTAAATAATATTAAAGTAATCAATTTCAATCATTAATTTGTGATTTCCATATTAAATAAATATTCATTTAGAGAAGTCTATTTGAAATATAAAGAATATTATGGAATGTCTTTATTGGGTGATATATCTTCTTTAAAGGATATTATTAGAGAATTAAATCATTAACTTAGAATAAATGAATAAAATGAAACTGGTATTTTATTATTGGATTATCTAACCTATTATTATTAAGTAATAATAAATAATAATACTTAATAATTTTTGGATGGTAAACCAATCAATGAAATTACACCTAGTCATTATTAAGAAATTAGAGTGAAAATATATAATTTAGAAATATGATTATATATATATATTTATTAATTTCTATCTATCTACTTTCTATTTGTATGTTAATTTTCTATAGTTGAAATCATATTCAAAATATATCATTAGAATATTATATATAATATGGTTTTATTTAATAAAATAACGAATGAAATTAGACAACGATTTTTTGAAAATCCAAACTTATACAAACTAACTATTTGATTCACTTCCAGTTATAAAAGAATATAAAAATGATAAAGATCTTATTACTCAACTATAATACTCATGTGTATGTTATGGTAGAAAATTAGTTTCTCTATTTGATAAATATACAATACTCTAAAAGAAATAGTAAGAAGGTTCAAATTAATTACTCATTAATTTGGCATCTCTATTAAATGTAACACCAAATGAGTAAAATATCATTAATACAATTAAATAATAAAGTAAAGTTAATGAGTAATTGCAATCTAAAATTGAATATCTAAAATAATCTTAATAGGATGTTGTCTATTAAAAAATGTTATAACATGAATAAAAGTTAACTCAAGAATTATAAGAAGTAGCTGATCGTCTCATAAAAGAATTGAAATAATCTAAAGATGATAAATAAATCTTGTTGGATGAATTGTAAATGAAAGAGGAACAATTGAAATAATATTAATATCAATAACAAATACAATAGTCATCCCTATTAAAATCTCCAACTAAATAATAATATAATAGTGCTCATAAATATTCAAGTGCTACTAAATATTCCAGTTCTAATAATAAATAACCTCGTTTTCAATAGTAATTAATTAATACACTTCAAGCGTTATCTTAATAAACAAGGACATTTCTATCATAATATGTTAATCAATAAGAATCAACTTATGATTATGATCAATTAATGACTGAAGATGCTCAGATGTTATCATTAAATATATCAAATATAATACGAGATATAACTTAACTAATATAACACAAAGAAGAGATTGTTGAAAATTTAATTAAAGGACTTGAAATATAATTGGAGTAAGTGAGATTGGAATAATAATAAAGTGAATTACAATAAACTGATAATAAATAATTGTAATATTAATTACAATAATTATAAAATATTGTTAAAAAAGCAAAAGATACAAGAACAAAAGAATTAGATAGAGCATTTAATTCTGAAATACCAGTATTTATAGTACCTGATGATTTGATGGATTCTGAATTATAATTAACTATTGAAAAACATAATTCTAAAGTTTAATAAAGATTGAATGATTTGGCAATTTAATTAAAAAAGAAATCAACATAATTTGAATAAATATAATCATAGAGCACTAAAATTAAAATTATTTTAGAAGAAGGCTTAAATAGATTAACTATTATATTAAATGAACTATAAAATATGGCTGATTCAAAGGAGGCATTAAAATTATTGAAATTTTGTAAAAATGAAATTGATTCAATATAAATAAATTTGAATGGAATAGATATAGAATAATAAGTGTCTATTGATATAAAATAATAGAGATAGAATTAATTGTAATAATTGGAATAATTAAAGAAATTCTATTCAGAATAAACAGAAAGGTTAATTTAAGAAAATGAAGAATTAAATGAGAAATTGACAAAAGTTTAATAATTGACATAAGGATTACATAATGATAATGAATAATTGATGCGTAAATTAAAATTAGCATAATAAGAATAAATGTAATAAAAAGAGGAGAAAGATAATTTAATATAGGAATTAGAATTAACTATCACTTAATAAGAATAGAATATAAAATTATTTGAATAATAAGATAAAAAATAGAGATAAACAATGGAATAAATAGAAAAAGAATTAGAAAATAAAAAAAGAGAATATTTAAATTTATAATAATCAAAATAAATGGAATAATAGGATATAATAGAGAAATTAAATGATAAGAATTCTGTATTGGAATTTGAAAATAAAACATATAAATAATAATTGGAAGTTATTGAAAAAGATTTTTAGAAACTTAAATCTTAACGTTAAACTTAAGAATAATTAAATGAATAAGATAAATAGAATTTGAAAAAATAATTAGATGAAAAGAAAAAATAATTATTATAATTATAAACAGAGAATAAAAAATCACATGAAGAGGCTGTAGCTTAAATAGAAGAATTATAAGATGAATTATAACATTTATCAAGTTAATTATAATTAAGAGAGACTGAAATTAAATAATTACATAAAACTTTAAGTGAATTAGAAGATTTTTCAAGAAAATAAATTGATGTAATTAGAACATATGAAGATAAATTAACTGAAGTTCATTAAATAAAAAAACAATTAGAAAATAATAATGAAGGAAATGATTAAATGTTGTCTCAATTATAACATAAATATCAATAATTATAACAATCATATAATCAATCTAAACATGAAAATGATAAGTAAATAATTGTTATAAGTATTTTAGATTATTAAATGATTTAAGTGTATTATAGAAATAATATACAAAATAAACTGAAATAATGGAATAGGAATTTAAGGATAAGTTGAATAAGTAATCAGAGATAAATAAAATTTTAAAGGAAGAAGCAAGAAATTTAAAAGCTTAATTGGAATTGAAGATTAATTAATTAAGATAATTAGAATAAGATTTGTAGGATAAAAATAATGATTTAGAGTATATTAATTTAATATTATTAGTAAAGCATAAAAAATATGTAAACAATTGAATATGTAAGTAAATGAATTCAGATAGAAAATCGAATATTTTGAAGAGTTTAAATAAGAAGTACATGTATTTTAAAACAAAAATAGAATTTAGAGACTTCAGAATAATATGCAAAGTAATTATAAATGTTACAGAATGAAAACTTCTAGTTTAGAAAAGAATTAGAGAGATAACAATAATAGAATACCTAACGTTAGAAGACAAATAATATTTAAGATTAATAGATGAAAGAGGAAATAAATAATCTTAAATAAGAAGTGAGAAAGATGGAATAATTATTAAATTAAGAAAGATAGAATTATGAATAAGAAATTAGAAAATATTAATATTAGATAGATGAATATACAAAATTAGATTTATCAATGAGATAAAAGTCAGCATAATCTGGTGGAAGTGCTTTTTATGAAAATTTGATAGAAGCAAAAGATTTAGAGATTGCTAGATTGACAAATATAGTGAAATCTTTAACAGATCTAAGAAAATGATTATAATTTAAATAATAATACTGATTTTAATTATAATTAATATTAAATAATAATTTATTATTATTATCATTAAGAAGTTCAGCAATATTAATTTTATAGTGATTATACTAATCTATATAATTCTTATTTAATAATAAATATGGGATTAAGAAAATGAAAATAAACATATTAAATAAATCATGATTAGATTGATAACTCAATCATAGAATTATGTTTGTCATTTTAATCAATTTACACAGATTGATTAAGAATATGAGAATAAAATGTTTTAGAATATAATAATTAATTGATGAATTTATAATAGCTAATACAAACTATTTGTTTTTCTTCATAATTATTTCCAATTAAGCGTTTAATCAGAATTTTATTTTTTTATTATTCTCCGAACTTTAGGGATTGCTTGTCTATTGCAGATCTTTAGCAATCTAAACAGATTATTATATCCATTCATTCAACCAAGGAAATCTTTTATAATTTAAGACATCCTAAATGTAATGTATGAATAATTACATCAATTTAGTCATTTTATATTGATTCCACAATAAAATTCACATATTTTTAAATTTTATGTTTATTTTCTTCAAGTGCTAATTATAGGTATTGACCTAGATTATATAGAGAATAAAATTGTTACTTAAAAAGTTTGAGTAATGTAACTGATATTGAGTTGATAGAAATAATTGCTAGACGAATGCATTATTCATTTTCTTAATTTGTTGTTTCTAAATAGTACTAGTGGATTTCTAAAACTTCACACTTTTGCGAATAATGAATTTAATCATTTCTTCTTTTGTTTTTTCAGCCTATTATGTTGATATGTAAATTTACTTATAAATATCTGGTAAATATAAGGAAATAGATTCTTTTAAGTGCTTTCCTTTGTTTACATAATCGAATGGTTTTTCGGTAGGCAAAGATTTATTCTTTTGGAAGGTAATTGAGATTTTTCATCATATAGTCAATCATTTTAAATACTTCATCTTTTAGTTATTCTGAATTCAAAGATAGAACTTCTGAGACTTGATTATGTTGTAATTGTTTTCTCAAAAAGTGATTTTCCTCTGTTAAATGATGAATAGCAAATTTATAATTCTCTATTTCGTTTGGAATTGGAGTATAGTTTATGGGTATGATATAATGTGGGATAAAAAATTGGTTTTCTTCCTAAGGTTTATATTATATTTATTAGTTTACTTATTTGATAACATTGTCTTCTTCCTTCATTATTTATATAAAGTTTGAGTACTCTAAAAGCAAGTTAGAGATAAAATTAATTAAAGATATTATTGAATAAGCATAAATACTTATATGTTACAATCATGAATTACACATTATCCTTTATGTATATTAATTAAATAAAATAATCATGCCCAAATGGCAAATCATCAAGATGGCTTTTTTTAAACATCTAAAAACTTTAAAATGGGATTAATATTAACAATGGAGATGGCATAATCACTTTTAATGGGCTGATAATACTTTTAGACCAATATTAATACTCTAATTCATATTTATTATCATTAGATTGTCCATAATGGCAGATAACTTGTATATTTAAATTACTTTAGCAATACAAATATGTATACATATTCTCTTATTTTTATCCATTTCAAAAGCAATTTCTCAAGAATCACATTTCTTTATATAATTATTGCCTCTAATACAACAATACTGTATGTATTGGATTTGCTACATAATCAAAGAAAAAGATTATTTTATGCTCTATATTACATTAATTAGTATCTATCAGAGCATGTATTCTACTTTAAGCATGAAATTTTTAACAATTTTATTGTTCTTAATCCAGAGCATCTTCCTTGCTGACTTACCCTCATTTGAAGGATTGTTCCTTTCAATAGTCCTTTTAATCTTATAAATATTAAGAAAGGAGTTCCTTTATTTACAACATTTTTAAAATCTTTAAGCATTATTTATGATAATTGATTCTACTCCTTAAGCTATATGTATAGTTCATAAAGATAAGAATTTCTTACTTTATTCTAATAAGATTTTTGATAATTTAGCTAACAAATTAGAAAGTACAAATTAAGCTGAAACAGATTAATCACCTGATAAAACATCTACAATACATTCAGCTAGAAATCAATTAAGTTTTTTATAGAATTTATAATTGGATGAATTAAATAATGATTAAACTCTATTTGATTTTGATGATGATGATCTTGAAATAGAGGATCAATATAAAATAAAGAATGTTACTTATTGTAAAGAAAAAACTCAATTATTATCTTAAAATCGATTTTCTGTAGAAATTTAATAATCACCCCCTAAAAATCATTAATAATAATAAAAATTTTTCTAATCATTTAAGAATTAAGAAGATGATAGTATAATCAAAAAGAAATTCACATCAGATGTTACAATGAAAATAGAATTTAATAATTCTCCTTAACTGATGATTCATTCAGCTGGTAAAAAGAGTTCTCGTAAAAGATCATAAAATTAAATTAGATTAAATAAATCTGCTCTATATATGACACCAAGTCGTAAAATTTCTGCTGATTAACTATTATCAAAAGAAAGTAAAGAATATCCAAGTTCTAATCATAAGTAATCTCAAGATTATAATATTCCAATTAAATCTAAACCAACTATCAATCATAAAATGAAATTTCTTGTTAATGTATTAGAGAATTGTAGATTATTTGATAATGATGATGGATTATAAATCTATTTTATTAATGAAATCAATTAAATTCTTTTAAGAGCCAAACTCAAAAAATTAGAATCAATTAAAAAAAATATTCTAAGATCAATATCTCATGAATTATTAACTAATTTAAATGCTATATTTGGATTTATCAAATAATGTTAAGATAAATAATCATCTTAAGAGTCTTGTTCATAATAATTAGAATAAGCTTTATGTTATACAAAACTTTAATTGTATAAAATATATGATTTTTTTGATTACAGAGATATTTTAGAAGAGAAATTAATTATGAAATCAGATAAGTTTGATATTAATTCAGTCATAAGGGAATGTGTTGATTTATTAAAGGATTAAATTGAAAGAAAATTACTCTCAATAAATGTAGAATTACCAGAGGTTTCTTATATAATAATTGGAGATCGTTAAAGATTATGTTAAGTATTATTAAATTTAATTGGGAATGCTATTCGATTTACATTGAAAGGTGGAATTACAATAAGAGTGTCTAATAAATAATATATAGATTCTATGTAAGGAATAGATGATGTACAATCATTCAATTATTAAGATACAAATTTATTATAAGTTTCTATAAGTGATACAGGAATAGGAATGAGTGAAAATGAATTATGTAATCTAAGAAAGAAGGTATTAATATTTATAATATGTTTAGTTGCACTTATCTGATGAAGATGAAAAAGTATCTAAATAGTCAGTTGGAATTAGTTTGGGATTATCAGTTTGTAAATAAATTATAAAACATTTGGCACCTTACAATTAAAATTATCTGTCAGTTGAATCTTCTTTAGGTGAAGGTACTTAATTTTATTTCGTATTATAATATGATGAAGAGTAAGTTTAATAAGAATAAAGTAATTTATAAAATTCATTTATTCATACAATTCCATATATAGAATAACAAAGTACTCAATAAGTTAGAGTTTTGAATTATAATAAATGTAGTAAATCTTAGTTAGGAGATTAGATAGGTAATATAGAAACAAATATTTGTAATTGCAAAAAGACATTAATTGTAGATGATGAATAATTTAATATACACATTCTTTCTCATCTTATGAAATAATAAGGTTATGATGTTGATTATGCATTTAATGGCAAATAAGCTATAGAAAAAATAGAAGTTTAATTGGCTAATAGATGTAATACATCAACTTGTATTGGATATAAGTGTATTTTAATGGATATATGTATGCCAATTATGAGTGGTTGGGAAGCTGTTCAAAGAATAAGATAAATGGAATATAAAATTAAATTAACTAAAACCATACCTGTCATTGCAGTTACTGCTTTCTGTAGTATCCAAGATTAATAGAAAAGCATTCAAGAGGGTTTTAATTGTGTATTAATTAAACCAATTACAAAGGAAAAACTTCGTGATACTTTTCATCATCTTAATATTTGATAATATTTATTTGTTCTATTTACTATTTTTTTTTAAATTGTCTTTCATCAGAATTATAAATAAAATATTTCAATTGTTTTTTTTTTGACAATTAATATTAAGATTATGTCATCCTTAGCCAAAAAAGCATAAGATCCATATGAATAATTAATTAAAATACTATTATTAGGCAATTCTGGAGTTGGTAAAACATAAATTCTACTCAGATATTCTGAAAACAATTTTAGAACAGGATATATGTGTACAATTGGTAATTAAAGTTTATTATTTTTTAATAGGAGTAGATTTCAAAATTAAGAAATTATAGGTTGATGAAAAAGTAGTTAAGATGTAAATATGGGATACTGCAGGATAAGAGAGATATTAGACACTTACTCAAAATTTTTATAAAGGAGCTATGGGAATTTTACTTGTTTTTGCACTTAATAATAAAGATTCACTTAAGGATATTGATAAATGGATGAATTAAATTAAATAGCATACTAATGAAAATATCATTAAAGTATTAATAGGTATTCATCATTATATAAATTATAGGAAACAAAGCAGATATTAAAGAAAGATGTATTTCAAATGAGGAGGCTCAGTCTTTGGCTACAAAGTATGGCATTCCTTATTTTGAAACTAGTGCTAAGGATGGTACTAATATTAATGAAGTATTTTTGCAAGTTGCCAAATTAATTAAAAATTAACACTAAGATTAATAATTAAACAGTAATCCTAATAAACTCCTTTCAATTCATTAAGAAGAAAAAAAATTGGATTCCTCTTGTTGTTGATATTTGTATCTATAAAACTCTTAATTTTTATAATTAATAAATATTTATGAATTCATTAATGTTCTAAATTTCTTTAGCAATTTAGATTAATCTTTGATTAGACCTATAAATTTTATATAAAAAATGTTGTGTAACAATAATATAATTTCAATTTCTGTGTTTATGTAAATAAAGTTAATATTGCTACTTATCCTTCATATTTAAAAAGACTATATCCAATTTTAGATAATTGGTCATATTATTATGGTTTCAATCTCTCAAATTGTACAAAATATATGTGATTATAATTGGTTACTATACATATTTGTAATCAGATTGGTGAAAATGAATTATTTCACTTTCAATTAATATTTAGCTAATAAGATTGATCAAATTAAGAATTTTGTTCTTGATTAATTAATTCATGAGATTTTAGAGTCCAAAAATCACATAATTAATGTTGCCATATTAATATAAATGATATAAGTAAATATTCAAAGAAGAAAGTAGAGGTGACAAAGATGAATAAATTAAATTTATTAATATATTCACAAAAAATGAGTTATTGCAAAGTCTATGACTCTAAAGATTAATACATAGATTATTTAAATAATTTACATATTAAATAAGATATTTAAAAATATTTAATCATAGTATATTTTTTTGTCCATTAGAAACAGAGAAGAGTTGATCTTTTTGTAACATATTAAATAAATGGGTTGAGTTCTATTTGATTAATTTTATTCAAATAATATTAAATATATAAAAGATAATAGTTGAAGAAAATACATTTATGAGTAATACAAAAATAAAGATAGAGAGTGCTATTAATTATTCAAATTTTCAGAATTTTTGTGGTGTGAATAATTATAATATAGAATTATACTTGCTTTTACTTTCATTCAGTAATCTAGCTTTTTATATATTTAATCATACTTATTCAATGTTTATGCTTGTCAAATTCATATTAACATCAACTCTAGCCATAATAATATTTGCTTTATAAAAAAGACTTGATCCAATGGTTACAAGATTTATAAAATTAGTTTGTGAAATAGTATCAATCACTTAATTAATATCATATGACGAATGGAGTAGTCTAGCCATACTTTCATTAATTTTCGATAAGGGAATTTTAACATAAAAACATGAAAATTATCATTATTTATTTGATTATCTCATACTTAAGGTTTTAAGTTTAATTTTTATTTCACTTTATTGGAGCAATTAGGTTTTTATCATAATTTTATGTAATACTATTGTACTTGAAAGTTATTAAATTATTCTCCTATATACTAAAAATAGGCAAAGATAAAAATATAAATTAGGAGGTAAATTAAAAAGAAAATCTGTTGAGAGTTAAAAAATAATAAGTGATAATAAAATATTAGGAGAAAATTAAATCTAAAATGATATTATAATTAATAATAATGGTGATATTATTATAGATAATTTAATTAATAATGAAGATCTTTGGATTAAAAGAATGCATGCTATACCAATCTCAATTATAATACTTAATAAAAAATCTTTAGCTATTAAATTTAAAAATGAAACAGCCAAAAAAAATTTTAATACTTTATGTTATAATGATAATGAAATTAATGATTTAATAATGAATAAATTGGAATTCACAATTTTAGAAGATAGTTTAGAAATGTTAAAAAATTCAAGTAATAATATAGTAAGAAAATAATTTTTTAATAAACCTGTTAATTAATCATGTTCAAGTTAATTTGATATTGAAAATCTAAAAAAATAAACACTTTAACAAATTTCATTAAATTTCATTGAAGGATCTTATTAAAATATTATGAAACCTAATACAAATTCTATTGATTTATATTGTCATCAAGTTTTAGATTCTTAATAATTTTAGATTAATGGAACAATATTCTCAAGTAATGAAGATGATGAATTAACAATCATTTTATCAGATATATCTAAATAAATGTAATTGTAATAATTCATTGTAAAAGATGAATTTTAAAAGAAAGTAAATTATAATTTATATTTTAGGTTATAGAATCACTCTCTCATGAACTTAAGACACCTTTAAATAGTTCAATAAATTTTATTAAATCTGCAATAGCCAATGAATAATTACCCTTATCTATTAAGAAATAATGTTTGGAACCTGCATCAATTGCTTTATAATTATAATCATATATAATCAATGATGTCATAGACTTTTCATAATTCTATAATAATAGTTTAGATGTTTGTGTAAAAGAATTTGAGATCAAAGATGTTATTAGTGAGATTACAAGCATTTTTAATTTATAATTCTAATAAAAAGGTTTAAATTTTGTAATAGATCTAACTAAAAATACATAAACTTATATGTCTACTGATTATAATCGATTAATGTAAATCTTAGTAAATGTTATTTAAAATTCCTTAAAATATACATATACAGGTGGTGCAATTCTTAAAATTAAAAATTTAGAAGATGATTCAATTTAATTTTCTGTTTCTGATACAGGTATAGGAATTAAATAAGAAATTACAAAGAAATTGAATACCTATGTTAATTAAGTTGATAATTTGAGATATTTTTCAAAATTGAAATCTTGGAATGGAATTGGATTATTGATTTCAAGTATTTTATTACATTAATTAAATCCATCATTATCAGAAACTTTTCAAATCAAATCAAAATTATAAAAAGGAACTAAATTTAAATTTAAAATAAGATAAGTTTTAATTGATGAAATTAACAATAACATTGATGATTTAGCCAAAAAAAAATCTGTAAAATTTAGAAGAAATTCAAGATAAAATTAATAAAATAATCTTGTTGGAACAGTTATATATGTTAATGAACATGCTTTAGCTTCTTAAAATCTTGGATTATATAGTACACAAAAAAGTACTTTACATAAATTACTTAAAGGAACTTCTGAAAATGATCAAGATTCTATTGAATCTGGGGATTAATAATATAATCTATCCAATCAATATATATAATTAGAGAATTAACAACACAATTTCATTCTTAATATTAAAGATAATAAAAAATAGAGTGGATCTTTTGAGTAACTATCAATGAAATCATCATAAATGAAGTAAATCTTATTTTTAAAATTAGATCAAAAATATTAAGTTTTACATAATTGAAAATGATGGAAAGGGAAAGTAATGATTCTGCCTTACACAATTTTAAAAAGAAACTTAAATGTAAGTGTAGAAAAATAATGTCTGTGGATGATGAAATTTTTAATTAAAACTCTATTAAATTGTTAATAGAAAGATATGGTTTTGAAATGATCATTGTAAGAATGTATTAATAATTTAAGGCTTATAATGGTTAAGAGGCGATTACAAAAATATAACAATTATAAAAATGTTCAAAGGAATGTGAACTTTTGAATCTAATTTTAATGGATTATTCAATGCCAATCATGAATGGTATTGAATGTACTATTTAATTAAAGAGAATGATGAAAGAGAAAATAATCCCTTACATCAATATAATAGGATTAACTGCATTTACAAGTAAATTAGACATCGAAAGCTGTTTAAATGCTGGAATGTATGAAGTACTTTTTAAACCTTTAAAGCTCAATGATTTCTGTGAGCTACTAACATTATTATGATTATTCTTATTGTATATATATATATATATATATAGATAGTATTTATAATCAAAGAGATGCTAATACATCTTTTAATTCCTAAATTTTTAAAGGTTTTGATAATACATCACTCATACCTGCTATTAAGCAATTTTTAATATCTTACTAACCTGTAAAAGCAGTTAAACCAATTATTGGAATTTCAGGGATAATACCATCTGACATGAGTTTTTTTAATTCTTTAGTTGTAGCTATACCATCTTTTCTTGGCATCTAATAATCCATTAAAATGATTGTTAAAATATTACAACCTAAACTACAAGGTTTTAGATTCAATATTAAATTGATTGCTTCATCTCCACTAAATGCTAATTTTACATCAAATCCAATTTATTAAAGAAGTCTTTCAACTGATTTTTAATTAAATATTTCATCATCCACAGATAATATGATATTGCAATTACATTTATTTTTTTTGATTGCCAATGTTTTGAAGATATCTTCCCTATATTATGTTTCCATCTTTCTAAATTAATTTAAATTGACTAATTATGATTTTTATGATTTATATGATTAAAATAAAGGATTTTTATTTTTAATTGAAATTTTTTAACTTGATTTAATATCTGTAATTAAAACAGGTTAAATTTAGATTAATTAAGAG